AACGGAGGTGATTTTGGGAAGGACTAAAGTAGGAAATCAAGCAGACGGTGGGGAGACACTTGTTCATTTGTGCGCGTGCCATGTCATGCAATGTCTAGTGACACATCACAGGGGTGTAATTAGATTTAGTAACAAAAATCCAAATGAGCAATACATAATGCGTTGAGTGCTTAAAGAGTCCTACACGCCAGTTTCATAAGGCCAACCGTAAAAGTCATGGTATCCATAAACTTATATTCACTTTTGGTGTTCATCATCAAATTCAGACCAGCTACTTGGTTGGATGTGATCTTTGTCACAAGCCAAAGCAATATACCATTTCCTTATTCCAATGGGTCCTCACAACATAATGTTATCATCATCATCGGCTTCACCTTTATTTTTCCAGGCAAGAAAAGAGAATATCTGCACCCGAGACATTTCCAGTGGAAAGGATACCTGCGTATGTGTCACCAGCATGCGTTGATGCAGAGCCATCACAATGGCCCATCTGCAATCCTCAACAGTGAACAGATTCAGCTTATCAGCCAAGTAACATGGTCAAGCAATGCTCGCTGAACCAGTAAGTAATCTCTAAATGGATTGGCTCTACTGCGTAGATTGGTGGGCAAGCCATGCCAAAGCGCGGCAAGAAACCTCACAACGGTCTGTATGCACCTGTGTTCAATAAATGAAAAGTTACTGGAGTAGTTACTGAAACTGTTCTAGAGACGGACATGTTCACCGCTCTTCACAAGACAATCCCATCATTCAGCGTTAAACAGTGTCATTTGAGAATATAATTGTGGCACCAATCCAATCACAAAAGACCACTCCTAGGGTGCTGCGCGCATGCTTCATATCAGAATTCTTCCTTCGGTCCTTCGCAGTACAAATTGCCGGCCTCTTGCTTATTGGTTACTACGTGTTTTCCAATCCTTTCAAGAGTTGTATAAAGAAGTTTCCAGTCAATCACATGGCATTGCTAGTGTTGGCTTAACTTATGGACATGTCTATTCATTAACAAGACCGGTTAATTTGCTTTATTATGTCTCTCTCAGTATAAGCCCTTTCTTCGTGGATTCCTGCAATGTGAACTAGCTCCTGAAATTGGTGGACTACATAACACATCCTTTCTTTGTAAAGCTTCTTCGATACTTCAATCGTCTTCTTCTTTTTCCGGCTTTGTGGGTGCTTGGCATCTTTAGGAACCATGTCTGACAAGCTCGACGAAGGCTGGCGATTAGTGATCGGATCATCCTTATCATCAGGGCCAAGCTCAATCACAGCAAAACTGTTGCATGTAAAAAAGGGTAGCGGAGTTTTGGCTGATGTCTGTTCCTAGAAGGGCACTTGATGAATTGATGAATCGAGCTAGACGGGGTAGAGAAGATATGTGGAAGTCGATAGTGACCCTTTCTTGCTCTCTGGCACATGAGCCGGTGACAAGTTTTGGCCGGGATGCTAGTAACATCTGTCGGTGTGACCACAAAATGGGGAGCACTGACAATCTCGTGCAGTCATCACAAAAGCGAGGAAACGCATCTAGAGGCTCGGTCAAACAGGCTAATCTCTTCACTAGGAAAAGTCGGTGTGGCAGCTGTTCATGTAATTTTTCTCGGTTAATAAAATACTTCGCAGGAAGCAAACGAGATGAGAATGGCAATCCAGTGCTTTAGTCACAGGGATAAAACATATGGTGATGTCTTGTATTTGTTGATCAGCAGGCTTGAAGCAGCAATAGCAAAGCTATGGTTGCTAGTGCTACTGCCGAAGGCCTGCCAGAAGCTAAGGGGATGCTGAGGAATCTATCCTCCTGTGAGATCATGAGCTCGGTCACCACCATTTGCGGGGATAGAGCAGGCATCAGTTTCGGCTTGGCCAATTTTACTCGGCAAACACCTATTGCTCTGTCCATCCACACGTACTCGATCTGATTCAGCGAGGAGTTGCTTTGGACACAACAGGAAGCGTTTGCATGTCGTCTTAGAAATCTGAGCTTGAGTTTTCAGGTGGCCCAACAGAGAGCAATTCTTTCTTCGGCTGTCGGAATCTTGCACTCAGACATAGAGGCAATAAAGAAGAATAGTTATACCCTCCTCCCTGTCAAAGCCTTCACTTCGAACTGGCAACTCAGTAAGGGTAACAGCTTAAAACCATGGACAGGGCACAGTTCACGTCGATTTGAAAAGTGATGCTGAGCTTACACTGTCAATGTGCTCCCGAGTATTATGATACTTCTGGCGCTTCGGTGAATCTGGATTATCAATAAAGGATGATCTTCCAGCAAATTATTAGCGTGTATATAGATAGTGGTTTTGAAAAATTAGCAGCCGTGTCTAAACAGAGAACACAAGTTGTTCATCCGTTCAAAAATGAGAAGACAGGCTGATTTCCCACAAACTACAACTATATAGGCAAAAGTAACCGAAAATTAAGATCCATACAGATCATACATCATTACAGCAACGGGTATCTATGTATCCTCATAATGGAACGTGAGTTTCATTCAGCAAATTTTCTCCATGACAAGATATTTGATGAAACAAATCTGTCATTTCAAGGTACAGAAGGCACATCAAAGAGGATCAATCTACAAATTTGTTTGGTTACAGAGGAGAGTTCACTTATCCAACTCCAGCAAATACATAAGAAAACTGGAGATTCCTCATCCGTCATCCTTTTTCAACTAGGCGCCTTACCAGTGACCCTCTGAGCAATCCATCCAAGACCATCGAAAAGGCCATCGCCTGTGAGGGCAGAACAAGCTTGAATGTGCCAATCATGGTTCTTGATGCTGTGAAGAGAGAGTGCATCGGTTATTTCTGCCGGGGTCATGGCATCTTTCAGGTCTTGCTTGTTTGCAAACACCAACAACACGGTCTGCTGAAGTTCCTCACTTGCAAGCAACCTGAATAGTTCGTCTTTCATGATTGAAATCCGTGCTCTGTCAGTGCTGTCTATCACTACAATGACAGCATGAGTTCCGCGATAGTATGTGGCCCATGATGTCCTTAATCTTTCTTGCCCGCCAAGATCCCAGACCTGATAACAAGCATCATCACAAGAATAGCAAGATCAGTTTATTGACGGACTGAATTCATTAAACCAGCGTTTTCTACCACTTGAAAGATCATTGGCCATCATATGTGCAGTCCATCTTATTAGTACATGAGCAGTATAAAAACTCACATGTCTAGTTCAATCTGACGGATGCATCATGAGACCATAATCACTTGCATATGTTAGATTATCTATCTGATTTCCCAGTCAATCTTCCTTTGGATTAATGACTCATCTAACGAACTGAGATACATTTCAGAGCCGTTTTGTTTGAACAATCTTAATGACTAATCCATGAATTATTTCCTCATAAAAAGACTAGTCTTGATCAGTGAAGACGCAAGATGACAGAGAGCCAAATATAAAAACAGAATGGCATTATTAACCCTCGTGTGAAATTGTTGGCTTGAACTGGCTCTACCAAAGATACTAAAGTAAATATAACTGAAACATATAGAGGCCTATGTGAAATTGCCGAGACAATGTATTGAAGGACGAAAGCAGATTATCACAATCCAAAGTATCCAAGTACTGCCATCATCCAAACACCTTAAAATGATGATCAAAACAGAATGCAGCACGCAACACGATGAAGGCAACATGTGTTGCGAGTACCTAAGCTCAACAATCATCAGGAGTTTGACAATTTTTTTTTGGTCAGATAGGAGTTTGACAATTTACCGACACAGAAAATCAAAACCATCTAATTTAATAGAACATCAACTTATAAATGAAATCATATTTCAGAAATGAAACCCTATTGCCAAAGCTTGCGCTCTTTCGTCGATATGGTAGAAAGAACTCTTTTCATCAAGAACCTTAAGCAAAAGAGTTGTCCCGGAAGCAAGACAAGCTATGATAGTCTGCAATTCCAAATCTTTAACAAACAAAAGCAAGAGAAGTTCTTGTGAGCTTCAAATCTTTAATTTAAGTAATTCGAGCAATGATCAACAAAAAATCCAGGCTCCACGGCCCATTAAACAAAGCTGTTATCTTATCACAGATAAACACAAACATACATACTCAGAGGGTCGAGATCATAACTGAAATCACAAAGTTCAACCAGCCAATTAGCTAACTAGGTGATATAGCTCTCTTGTGCAGGCAATGCATAACACTTTTCAAGGGTGATCACAACTCCAAAAAAAGAAACTCTATAAAGTAGACTCTAACATATTACAGCAACCAATCGAAACGGCAGCCCACAAGCTTAAATCATCTACAGGACCGCCATCACACGAAACTCCAAATCCCAAACCCCAAGCACTGATGGGCACAATCAAAGATCACATTTCCCACCACTAATTATGAGAACCAGCACACAGTAAACGCACAAAACGGGGTTAGTCGTTACCGCACCTCGAATCGGATATTCTTGTAAACGACCTCCTCGACGTTGCTCCCGACGGTCGGGTGCGTCGTGACGACCTCTCCCAGATGCAATTTGTAAAGGGTGGTCGTCTTCCCGGCGTTATCCAACCCCACGACCACGATCTTGTACTCTTTGGCCGGGAACAACATGAACCAGAACCTCGATATGAACGCTCCCATCCCTCACCGCAACACCTACATCGTCTCCAACCCAATAATCAAATCCACCCCAAACCAAACAAACCCAACGCGGAAAACGGAGCAAAAAATCGGTAAAACCTAAAAAGGCGCAAACTTTAAGAGCGAATCGCAAAGAACCAAAGGCCCAGCAAACGAATCGATCAGCTTGTATGCTAACAAGAAGGTAAGCAAGAGATCATCAAGATGGGTACGCAGAATCCATTAGAACCGAACCTGAAATGGGGAAAATTGGGCTGGGAAGATGATCTTTCGCCGGGGTTTTCGGGTTCCAGAGACGCGCGGCAGAGGAAAAATCGATTCTTTAGGAGATAATCAAGAATCAATCCGTGGGATTTAGGCTAATAGTTTCAGATCGCGATCGACTTGCTTTTGTTCTGGCAAAAAGGAAGAGAGAGAGAGAGAGAGAGAGAAAAGAGAGAGAGGGCTTTGAGACCGCGCGGAGTTTTGTGTTTCCGTAGGCGACTCCGAGGTGGCGGAGGAGTGACGGGAGTTGACTCGGCACCACCACTCCTGCGCGGAGATGACGTGGCACGCCACGTTGGCTTGTGAGGTGTATGAGTCATCAGTTTATGCTTGGGATAATGACATAAACGGTTCCTGAACTTTGGTCCAACGTGCAACGTGATCCCTTAATTTTTAGATCATGTTTAATGTAGTTCCTGAATTATAGCTAAAAGTTCATAGGGTCTATGAACTTTTAGTTATAGTTCAGGGACGACATTAAATATGAACTAAAAGTTCAAGGATCACATTGAAACTAAAAGTTTAGGGATCGCATTGTATATTGGACTACGATTCATAGACTGTTTGTGTCGTTTTCCCTTAATGTTTTAAGCCCTAGGCCCTTCGAACAGTGTAAATTCCACGTGAGGCTCATGTAAAAATCGAAGATTGTGATACGCCGGGCTATTGCTCGTATACTCGATGCGCCTAAGGAATCCCATCCTTACGAAGGATGAGTGTTGGATTGGATCGTGGAATAGAATAATCTCATGAGTAAACTAAAGTCCAGTAAAATCTAGATGTTTTGCTTTTTTATGGCATGTTTCCTCTTACTCTAGAATAAATAAAAAGCAAAGCCAAAATATAATAACGAAGAATTTGGTATTCGACGGCAAAGACCAAATGATGTATGGATTAGATTCCACATTTGGTAGGGGAACTATTCGCATATGAGCAATGCTAGAAATAATAAAAAGTTCTCACTAATAAATCTTTTTATCGTATGATGTAGCTCTTTTAATTAAGTCTTATCACCTAACGTATCGATTTTTACACATTTTGTGTAAGTTTCATGAGAGTAGAATTAAAAGAGTTAAAGTACGTGTACGGTAGGATCCGAATGAAATGAAAAAGTGAAAAGAAAATTTGGAACAAGATTTGTTGTTATTGAGTATATATAGTCATATAAGTGACATTACATCCTTCGTAAGAGTAAAAATATTCTAATAAAATGACAATCGAATTCGAGTTTCGGGATATTTGCAAAATTAATTTTGAACTCGTCTCTTGCGATTCGAAAAGCGCTATCTATATAAGGTCCGTCTTAGTTCGAAACGGGTCGAATTCCTTGTAATAACAAACCCGAACCACTCGCTCGTCAAAGCCGTTCCTAATCTGAGGTTTGCCCAAAAGTCAAAACAAAAACGGAAAAAGGATACCTAGAAATCCACCAAAAGAAAAGAAAATAAAAGAAAAGCAGAAAATATCGTTAGGCAAGAAAAAGGTCGTATGATCCTACCGTCCCTATTGTTCCGGGCCCCCACACTCCCCCTAGGTTGATCCCTCCAGATCAGTCCAATAGCCATGCGCCACGTGGCTTAAGCCTCCGCATCCTCCCGCATGTCCATATTGAGGGTGAGCGGCTCCGGGGTTAGTTCAAGTTCCACCTAGAACACCGCCGTCGGAAACTACCCCATCACAGATTTCAATCCTGTATTTTTAATTGAACGATTGCAACAGGTTCCGTGATTTATCCAGATTCCATTTAATTGCATAGAATCATCATTTTTAATAACCACCTTTTATCGCTATAATTCATCGACCACAACTCTTATTTAAACACATGAGAATATAAAAACATTAATAAAGTAAAAATCTCAATTATGGATATCGCCGGAAATGAAAGTTTAGACTAGTAGTTTTAGATTACACGCTCATCATTGGGCGTCGTGGAATATGTCACGATTGCGTGGAGACATCGAACAAGAAAAAACACAAAGACTTGTCTCAGGTTTCAGGTCGCCTGGGGCATAGAATCTATCTTTCGGAACACGTTCCTCAATTGTTTGAACTCGGAACGGACTTGTTTTCCGATTCTTCATTATATACCCCGAAGCCATGCGCGCCCCTAACTTCGTATCGCACTTTCCGGCCCCTCGCGGGGTCGTTTCGGTGCGAAACGGCGACCCCTTTGCCCCGCGACCCTCAAGGCTCCAACGATCGCTCCCCCGAACGACACTCCCAAAGCTCGAAACGGGCCAAAAAGCAGGCGCTCCTCTGTTTCTCTCCTTTCCCCTCTTCGTAAACTCCGCCGCTCTCCCAAAAAACCCATAAGCAACTCCGCCTTCCTCTCGCGTCCTCTCCTCCTCCTCCTCCTCCTCCTCCTCCTTCAACAATCACCAGCTCCGACCACCCATCGCCGCCCTCCATTCTCGCGCTACCTCCCCAACCCCCTCGGAGCCTCGCCGTTCCGTTCCGTTCCGTCCCGTCCCGTTCCTACCATGGCGGCGCAGTCCCTCCAGTTCTTCGCCGGCTCGCCCAGCGTGGCCTTCCTGACCAAATCCAGCCACCACCCCAAGCCGTCCTTTCCCACCACCGTCCGCCCCTTCCCCGTCGCCTTCCCCGGCCTCTCCGTCAGAGCCTCGGCCGCCGAACCCATCCCGCCGTCCCCGTCGGCTCCGCGCGTCCTGGTGTCCGACAATGGGACCGGAGCCGCCGCGGTCTCCTCGCCGCCCCCCCGCCTCGCCGGCGGCGGAGGCGAGGCGGCGGCCATCGAGGTGGATGCGGTGACAGAGGCCGAGCTGAAGGAGAACGGGTTCCGGAGCACGCGGCGCACGAAGCTGGTGTGCACCATCGGCCCGGCGACGTGCGGGTCGGAGCAGCTGGAGGCGCTCGCGGTCGGGGGGATGAACGTGGCGCGGATCAACATGTGCCATGGCACGCGGGAGTGGCACCGCCGCGTCATCGAGCGCGTCCGGCGGCTCAACGAGGAGAAGGGGTACGCCGTCGCCGTGATGATGGACACGGAAGGAAGTGAGATTCACATGGGCGATCTTGGTGGGGCTGCTTCCACGAAAGCCGAGGTTCGTTTGTGGGTTCCTTTCTTTTTTCCTGATCGAATTTACATTTATCATTTAAATGGTGTGACTTGTTAAGGTATGCTGAGTTGAAGCTTGATTGAACTGGAGTTTTGGAACTTTGGACTTGATTGAGTTAGTTGTAGTTGTTTGGTGGGCAAATGGGTGTTCGTGCATTCGTTTCACATGCTTTGGTTCTGTATTCTCTGACCATATTTGCGTAAGATTGTGATACCTCAGGTTTCCAGAAAAAGAAAAAGGAATGGACTTGATGAAACTACGTTTCTATTGTTCTCCATATAGTGCAACCCACATGCATAAAATTTGTGAGGAATAGTAAATTCCGCGATGCAAAGACCTTTGCCCGGGTGACATGTGAACTAATGTGCTCTTGCTGAGATGTCAAGGCATGATTTTTCACTCAATCATGGAACTCTACCAATTAATGCATGCACTTGATAGGTATCTGATGATGCATAACTTTTCTCTAATCAAACGCCGAGTCAAGGGCAAGACGGGGGACTACACTGTCCTCTATTGTAATTTACACCCAATATGTGCACATCATACTTGAAATTGCATTGGTGCTGATTCAATGCAAGGGCTTTTTTATAGGACTTAGTACAGACTGACTAGGAAACGGAGTTTTGCTTATGCGTGCTTTTGTGCTTGTGTTGGGTGCATGCTTCATAGGAACAATGTGAACGTTTTTGCTTTCTTATTGTTAGGTTCCGTTGTTCTTTCAGTGGTAGCTGCTTGTATTTGTGGAGTGAAATTTTATGCTGAACAATGGTCTCTTTGCTGATCGATAATTCTTATCTTTCGCCTTGGGCAAGCTGCTTATCCTGTGTACAGGGCTTTTTAGGGGGAATGAAAAGCACTTTATTGAAACAGAACCAAGTTAAAGACTCACACAGAAAGTATACATTACGAAGTATTGGAGGAAGGATATGGAAAAATAGGACAGAGATAAACATCAAGTGGAAAAATCCAAACTAAGCAGTCTAACCAATAACGTGGCTAAGAGTAGTCATCTTCTGATATATCGATCAAGCTATAAAAAATCGTCATAGTAAGGGCTTTCCAACTTTTCTCTGTGAGTCCGACCAAAAAATAAAATAAAATTTCTCTGTGAGTCTGAGTCCTTGATGCCATTCTGAGCAAGCTGTCCTCTGGGGTTTTAATGCCCCGTATTCTTCCTCTTGTAATTGACTTCTTCCAAGGACCAAAAAGCTTGTAATGATTTGAAAATTTGACCTGCTTGCTGTATTATAATCTGTCTTGTCAAATATTGTATATCTTCACACTTTGCTACCAACCAGGATGGCATTCCAAGAAGTTTGTTATTTTATTTGTCTGGCCACTTTGGAGATAATATTCTTCTCTAGTTTACGTTTGACACTCTTCTGCATATAATTTTATTTGCTGAATTTTTATCCGAACTCTGCTAATATTCAGGTGATATGCCTCTCTCTTTCTCTGAACTGTGGCCCTACTGTGTTTTTCATGCCCTTTGAGCCTGTCAAAATTTCATCTTTTTTGTAGTAGTCACAATTGGACCTTCTACAGTGGCCTAATGCAAAAGATTCGGCCTGGATTTAAGTGATTGCTCATATACCTAGAGGAAAGAGTTAAATTTGAAATGTTCTCCATGTAGTAACAGTTGGATTAAAATAGTTCCACAGAGTGGTGTTATAACCTTTTACTGTTGATCAGTTTGCAGTTTTTGTGGCAGATGGCATTGCTTGTAAAAGAACTTTTCTTTAACTGATTGTGCTTTTGTCAGGACGGTGAAATATGGACTTTTAGTGTGAGGGCTTTTGATTCCACTCTCCCTGAACGAACCATCATTGTGAATTATGATGGTTTTGCCGAAGGTAATAACTTATGGAAAATCTCGTTCATTAAAGAAACAATTGTTATTTCTGTGAGATCATGCACTGCTTACTGTGCTTTTGTTTTGTTAATCTGCTGAAATTCACAGATGTGAAGGTTGGGGATGAACTCCTTGTGGATGGTGGAATGGTGAGGTTTGAAGTGATCGAGAAAATTGGTCCAGATGTTAAATGTCTATGTACTGATCCAGGACTTTTGCTTCCA